ATCGTAGCTGTCCAAGATTCTGCCTCATCTCATCCTAGTGCTAGAAAGTTGAAATCTGAAAGATTTTGCTGTGGAGCTTCCAAGAGCTTCCAAATGTCCATAGCTACTTTGAAGAGAGTAATAGCTACATAGAAAATGATGAATGAGGTATTTAAAGCCTATTTTGCAAAACAGCATGTACTGATTAAGTAAAAACTGTTTGTTGCCAAATGACAAAATCCTGTGTGCTTATTTCTACATTCAGAACGTTCATCCTTTGCTTGCTAGTGTTATCTTCAAATGTATCTTTTGGAGTTTGACAGCTCGGAGTAACTTCATTACTGCAAGCCTCTTATAGCTATTCATGTAGGGATTTAGCTGAAACAGAAATTAATGCTTCCTGGAAACTTACTTCTTGTACTTGGCTTCCTTGATAGTATTTATGTTCTTCAAGAAAGTAATGTGTGAAATGGTGTTCTCTTTCTGCTGACGCCACTGCAGCTGCTGTGAGAATTAGGCAAAGATCCATTATGCAGCAAATGTAAAACTCAACCTTTTTAAATTATTTATCTCTTCAAGGGAGAATCTAGTACTTGGTCATCTTCAACAGAGTACTGGTCCCTCTAAAGGAGTGTTTCTTCACCTAAGCTAAAAATACTGAGCAGTACGATGCCAGTGTTTTCTGTAATGGTCAGTGATGAGCTGATGCACAGGGGGCACTTGCTGGCTGTGGAACATTAAAGGGATTGCCTCTCAGTTTCACCAAGGAAATGCTAATCTTTTGCACTTGTATTCTCTGTGGACTGATACAGATTGCTCTAAGTCTTGTAGTAATGTAAATAAACAACATTTGCAGCCTTGTCTTATATGCAAATGTTACAAATTGTTGAGGTACATTTTCATACGGTTGTTAAACCAGTGCTTCCAGCTCCAAGGATCAACAAGGCATCTTTTTTTAATCCTATGTTATTGGGACTGTTGGAAGTGAATTAAAAAACTAATTAATTAGTTGTTTGGACTGATTGTTAAATCTCCAGTGATGCAGCCAGAAGACATTGTGTATTAGTCTCCTGCATCTTAAGATAGTAGTAGCCCATGGGAGGATTATTTGAGCGAATTAGCAGTGCTGTATTTGGGGTGGAAGGGGTGAACTGCAGAAATCAATCCTCAGATACAGTTGTTCTTGCTAAGATTTGTGAGTAGCAACCAAGTTTTAGTACACTGCTCGCTGTGAGAGTAACCAGTTACTCTTCTTGTTCAATTTACCTTTTCAAACGTATTAGAACATACTTAGTGAAAGCACCTTGTACGCACCTAAACAGGCAGTTATATTCTAATTACTCTAGTGTTTCTTGTTGATAGAAAGGTAAATTTGACAAGTGTGGACTAGATGATATTAAATCAAAGGGAAGGAAAAAAAATCTTCTCACCAAGAATAATTTAAAGACAAAACGGACTAGAATTTTGCATAAAGAATGCTGACCAAACTGTAACCAGATGAATTCTTCACTAAGTCATGCATACATCTCTGTGCCTCTGGATATGAGAGCATTCATAATTGCTGTCTTGGAGGTTATTGATACACTGTATGTTCAGTATTTGAATTAAATGCAGCCAAGAGTTTGTAACAACTTGAAAGAGATAGCATAATTGTGGTGTTTACATCCCTCAGTTGTTAATTGTGGAAGAGAAATCGGTTAGAAAGCAGTCCCCAGGTAATGCCAATGTCTTTTCCCGAAGCCTTTTTTCTTATGCATATTTGAAGCCTAGCAACAATTCTATTCTCTGCATTTTAGTGAAGTGTTGGCAGCTTGGGTCAGCAGTGAACCGTGTTGGTGTTCCTTCACTTCTCTCCACTCTTCAGCCTTTGAGTATTACTTCTGACATCCCCATTTTATCCAATTGTCATCTTCCTTCTTGTTATCAAAGCCCAGATTCTTAAAATATTGAATGTTCTCATTCTTATTGAAATTCACGGGAACCAAGTTCTGAAATAATAATTTTAAAAGATTTAAGCGTTTTTAAGAATTCAGCCGGTATGTTCAAATTGTGTGTTCCTGATTTAGTCCTGCAATGGCATTCATGTATGATAAGTAATTATTACCTTAATGCTTGCTCTTTTCAAAATCAGGTGTCTAGTCTTCAATTAAGACAGATGGCATTATTAATTAGAAATGAATGCCTGCTTAAAACCCTGTATGGATTACAAATCAGGTTATACTTCCTAGTAAGAAAGGTAAGATTAAGTAAGAGGAGCTTAGCTTTTAAACTACAGATTGCAAGATTGAGTTATGAAATTGATGTCCTTGAACCTAGGACTGGGAATGATTCATTTTCAGGTATTTTGAGGTGCAGAAAGTATTGGAATATCAGAGGTGGTTTTTTTTTACCTTAATCTTGAAGGAATGCCAGATAGCAAGCAGATAGATTTCACTGGTGGTGAAAAGAAAATTGAGAGTCTACATTATTATTATGATTAGATCAAATTGATTCCTACTTTGTAAACATATGACTGAGATTTGATTATCTGTCTGTCATGGAGACAATCAGATAGCAAAAATGACCAGGTGCTGTTAGACATTATATTTAGAATATTTATCTGTGGGTTCCTAGGACAAATTAATTTTTTTTTCTATAAGGGAAAACAAAACAAACCCTTAGGTTTTGTGGTTTGGGGTTGTTTCTTATTTTTGGGGTTTTTTAAAATTATTCTTCCCTCTGCAGGTGCCATCAGATGCAACAGCCCTGATTCTGAAAGTTTAAGATTTAGTAGTCTCAGAGATTTGCTGCGAGGGTTTTCTCTACTGAGAGAGTTAATACTATAATCTTTCTTATGTAACTGCTTAGAAGGTCAGGTGAAAGCTGCCATCCAGTGTGTGGATTCACTGTGATTTAATGTCTGTATTTAACTGGCTGGAAAATGGAAAGAATTGAATTTTTCTTGTTTTGTTCTAATATTTATTTCACTGAACTCACGCATCATTTCAAGTGATACGTGAAATGATTATCTGGGTCAAATACATGCCTCTATTATCTAGTTCTATTTAATTAACTGTCATATGGTTAAGTAGGTGTTGTGCTGCAAGTAAAGAGTAGTAACACTTCTGATTTTTTTTTTCCCCTCAGTGAGGTGTATAGACTAAGGTGGGGGTTTTGTTTATTTCTTTTTAGCATTCAAATTTGAAATACCTGACGAATAAGTGCTATGAAAGTGCAGCAATAATTGAAAGCTTCAGCGGGCAGCTTTGATTGAGAGGGTATGGTTAGCTGGTTATTTACCATGCAATATCTTTAATCTTGTAAAAGAATCTTACGCAGATGGTAAGTGCTACCTCAATGCTCCTCAAAAAGTATATTAAAACCATTTTTTCCCTTCTTATTTGTAGCAGCTCCACATTTGCTGCAGTCATTGCAAACGTGTTTTTTTGCAATTTAGTTTAACAGTGAAGAAATTGTGGATTGAGGCATAAGAAAGGTGTTTCTGCCAATTACCTACTACATTACTGACACAGTATTAGCCAAGTGATGCATGACTCAGCTCGCTCTAGGCTTTCCCAATTGGCAAAGTGTTCCTGAATGTTCTGTTTGGTTCCTCCTGGTGGTTCAGATGTGGGAAAGTATGGAGATACTTTAAAGCAACAGCAAAGCCATAATTCCACCTTTCTGAAATAATGCTTCATGTTTAATATTTTTCTCGTGCATCAGTTTATTGAATACTGCTCCCAATTTCATGGAAGGACTGAAGACTTGCTATACGTGCAAAATAAAATACCTCAAAAAGAAAAAAAGGAAATTAAAAAAAAAACTAAAACCCCAACAACAAAACCTGTATGAACAAACCCAAGCTTTTCTCTGGAGGGAAAGAAATGCACAGGATCCAAACATTGCCTGGGTCACATCTTCTTATTATGGATTATGATGAAAGCTGCTGTATATTCAGAAGTTGTTCAATTTAAAGCTGGGGCAGGGAAACGTGTCCTGTGTTATTGCCATAGACACCATCTGTGGTTTCAGAAGTCCACGAGCCCAAAACTACAGAAGGCTGGGGCTATCATCAGTTATTTTTTCTTTATTCTGTTCTTGTACTCCTCTGTAGCCATCTGCTGCCATCAGAGACAGCACACTGGGCGAGGTGCAACTTTGATTCAACTTTGACAAGTCTGTTCCGATTTCAGGGGTTGCTGTTTGCTGACTGCAAGCAGGAAGAAAGGGCTAATAAGAGGTTCCCTGCTCCTGGCTTCTCACTGAGGTTCTCTCCTGCCTTTTGAAAAACATTAAGGTGTCCTGCCCACCTGAATGCTAAGTGATGCCTGTGCTTCTGAATGCTGTTACTTTTTATTTGAAACTGGGGAGAGCTGGTGAGGAATGACTTTCAGCCTTATTCCAGTCATGGAACTAAAAGAATAATAATTAAAAAAATCACATAGGGTTTGGTAAAATGTATATGTTTGCATGGTATCCCTAACCAAGTGTACACTCAGTGTATGTTTTCTTCTGCTTTAGGAATTTGAAAAATTCCACTTATATCTCCTGAGGAACTGGAACACTTTCTGTAAAACATTGAGTTGGTTGAGGCTGGAAGTATTCCTGTGGCTGGTCGATGGAAGCAGAAGCCTTTTCTAAACTTTATTTAAAAACCCATACTTCATCTAATACCACATCTAAAAACGTCAGTGTGAACTGTTGCATTTTGGGTTTCCTTTTCTGCACAATTAGCAGGCACAGCATCTTCCCATGCATGTATAGAGTTGAGACGAATTCTCATGCAACAAAACACCGCGTGACTTCAAACATTTCTTCATCTACTGTGTTGCAACAAGCACACAGGAAGGCACTCGGCATCGCTACTCCCAGGTTTCACCGAGTCGATACATATGACATCAGGATCGCCTTCAGTCAGAAATCTTGAAGTGCAGCTTTGCTGGGTGGGTCTCTGAAGAATTTGAAAGAGTCCTGTAGAGAGGGCGTGTTTACCTGTGTCAAGGTAGTGAGCGTAATGCCTCGTCCCTGCTAATGTGCTTATGTTCTCTTTGACTGCAACATCATAAAGGTAGGAATTTCTCCTTCTTTCCATTTTTTTTTCTGTTCTGATGTGGTTTTTTGGTTGTTTATTTTCCCCCCTGCCTACATCAGATTATGGTCTGAATTGCTAGCGTGTGCTCATCTCTAACATTGTCTGTTTTATAAGGCAGAATTAGAGTAACTCTTACTGTAGTCTTAGGATAAAGAGTGGAATAGGTGTTAATGTGATTTTATATCTTGCCACTAAGTATTCCAGCCTATGAGAACTGCTTTTTATTTTAGGGAAAAATAGTACAGGTTACAGTAGTAGTTTTGTGTTTCTGCTTCATATGTCATTATTCTGTGAAGTGCTTGTAAGAGCACTTATTTCTGTACTGAAAGGGAGGAACATTTATTAACAGGAAAAATAATGTTTGCTAATTATGTAAATCTGTTTGGATTAAAAAAAACCTTGAATTTAAGTTGTTTGAAAAATCTAGTTCTAATTTTGTTTTGTAAAATGCTAAGTAAAAAATGTTCTGTAAGAAATCTAGTTTAACAGATTTTTAAATAAGGCTTTCCCGTTGAAGATCTAACGAAGCCAGTGATATAAATAATACATCTAACCAAGCTTTCAGACAGGGTTCTTTCATAGTAATGCTATGAAATTCAGATGGAGGAACCACGTGCCTTTTTTTCTTTTAGTTTTTGTAATGTATACCTATTTTTAGCTAGCTTCCTAGCTCAGGTCAGATCTTCAGCTGGGTTGGCACTGGTGATGCAATGCTGATACACGTCTCGCTGAAGATCTCTCCCTTGCATTTGCTGGGACATGAAAGGATGCCAAACAGTGGCTGAAATAATGAAATACCAGTTACGCTCTGGCTTCTCCTGTAGTTGGCTTTGTGGGTGGAGAATGTCTGGGCAGGTTGAACTGCAGAGGAGGGGATAACCAACAGGAGGAGGACTGAGAGCACAGTATCCATGGTTTAGTTGCTGGTTGAGGGTGGTGCAGAGATCATGAAATCAGTGTACAAGTTTGATCCCCTATGTGTGGGTGTCACGCTGTGTCAGCTGAAGACCCTGTTTCAGGAAGCTGCAAATGGGACAGTTTTCCAGAGCTTAAATGCACCCTTTCCCTGCCTCCCAAGGGCTAATTTCAAACCTTGACCTATTCACTGTGCAGGTGGAGAAGTCAACAACCTTTCCCTCTGCACCCTCAGGTCTCCTCTCTATTATTATTAATTACTATTGTGCTGTCTTCACATGTTTTATGGTACTGTTGTACTTGTAATAACGTGCTTATCCTGACCACTGTGTACCCGTGTGCTGCTCTGTTCTTCCCTGCCCCTAACCCTTATCTTCATTAAGTGACCAACAAGGCTCACAACTCTGGTAAAATCTCCATTAGTATCTTAGCGTTTTAACTTAGACTTCAGGTCTTTATTTCAAATAAAACTTCGGTAAACTGCAAAAAACAATAATTTTTGCATCTTTCCGCAATAGTAATAATTTGTAGAAAAGTGTCATACTTAAATAGATTTTTCCGTACGTTCTGACAAGTGTTACTAACAAGCTCTTGAAGCAACTGGTGTTGGCCCTCTAGATCTGTTCAAACTTTTTATGAATTAAGCACCTATTCAGAACCTGTAGTTTGGATCGAGCTGCTTTTTTCCCCCTTTTTTTTTTTTGGAAGAACTATTTTTTTACCTCAATTATTACAGATATTTGAGTTATTTCATAACTTTTTATCAAGCTCTATCAACATTATGGATTTTTAAAGCTTAAAAGCAGACATAGTTTACACTGTAACTGTACAGGGAGAGCTGTATTTTACTTTTCTCAGCTGTCTGCGATCACCTAAAACCATTTTAGCTGCTCAAAAATGATTTACCTTTAAGTAGAGAGAGCATGGTAACTTTCACCCAAAAAACCACCTTATTTCAAACAGATCTGGTTCTCTTTTTTTCTTTCCTCCCCCTGAGAACAGAGAAAAATAAAAAACTCACTTGCCACCTTAATTGAGATTTATTCAAAGTGCTATTTTAGCTTGCTACAATACAGTCACCAAGTTACAAGGTAATGTGATAGAACAGTAAAAGAAGTGAAATACTCTAATTGCCCTATAACTAGGCACTTAAACTGTTTACAGTTGAGATTTGTACAAGCTGGGGAGTAAATTTGAAGTTAAAGGTCTCATAGCAGTCATAATTCAGCTGGTTTATGTGTATGAAGTATTTCAGTGGTTCATCATAAGAACCTCTGAGTCCAACAGCTCTTTTATTTTGCGCTGCCACTGGTTGTGTGCGTAGCCTCGGTAAGATGTCATTCACACTGTGCCTCAGGTTGTGCAGAACTTAACTGGAATCGTGTTTCCACATTGGTGAAAAACAAGAAGAGTTTCTTGGTGAAACAAGATGGGGAAAAAAGAAGATGCAAAGAGGTGGTAGCATCAATCCAGTATCCTCCATTCAGTTTTTCCCCTCAAACCATAGTTCAAACCCTTTATGCCGATTAGGTGTGAAACGCTGCTTGATCTAATGCCAGAAGCAGCACCAAGAAGCAGAAACAAGCAATGTCTGCAACTGGCAGAAGGTATTGAACAACTCAGAACTGGTGCCTGAACGAATGGTTTTGTGTGGAAAACAGTGGAGGTCAGGGTTGCTCTTACTGCCATAGGGACTTATAATTTTTAGTATAAAAAATTATCAGTGGAGAAGTAATCTGGTGTCACATCCTGTGGTTTCTCAAGCTTGCAAGTTGCAAGTATGTCCAGAAGATGTATAAAGCAGCTGTTGTACATTTGAAAGGCTGGATGGCACAATATTGACTGCCAACACTTGCACCAATATTAAACCATTAACAAGGTAGGGTTTGTAGGTGTGATGGCTTTTGGATTTTATTAAAACTCACTTTTCTGTAGTACTGGGATTTATTTTTTTTAAAGTTATCTCTTAGGTAGTGCTTCTGCTATCCTCAGTAGGAAAAGGGTTGCATGACTGATAGCAACAAAGTGTAGAGCCCATATTTTTTTACCTGGTTCATGGTGGTGATCACAGTGGGGATTCATTAAACAATAAAGAATATTATCTTTCATATCTACATATGTTATCTATTTCTAGCTGAACACAAATCTGCTGCCGAAACCTGTGTGTGAGCTGTTGCATATATTGCTTAGTCTTAAGCAAAACCAAAACCTGTGATATGGTGGATCTGATCGTTGTTTACTCTTCAAAACCACTTTTTTTAATGCAGATGATTAACACCCTGGATCAGCTTTGCTGTCTCTTTTGATATCTGGGAGACTCGATTTTTTCCCAACAGTTACTGCACCTGCTTTACCAGTTCTACCAAATGATGAGAGCAATAGGAGAATTGTGGTATTCCTGGTTTTTGCTGATTTCTTTCTTTCCCTGTTACACCTCTGGAGTCACACTGAGTCTAATAAGATGCTTGGAGAAATTAAGGCTTCTTTCACTTGCATGTTTTTTAGTGAATTTTGAGTTTCCCAATTCATCGGGTGAAGAAAGATAAGAGATCCTCCCAGCACATCCTTCACTCCTGGATATCACCCTCTCTTAGTTCTGGTTTTGGAAATACAGTTTTTGCAAGCTAGAGCTTCTGTGCAGAGAACAATATCAAAACTTTGGCTGTATTTCTTTTTATTCATTCCCCAGACTGCAGCAGACAAAATTTCCACTTTAAAGCAGCCCCTGAATTTATTCTTCAAAATGTAGCCACATAACTTCTGTCAATCCAAAATTTGCCCTTTTTTGCTTAACAGCATTAAAAATAGGAGGTTTTTGGGTTTTTCTTTAATTGAATATATCAAGGATCCAAGGAAAAGAGCTTTGAAGGAAACTCCACATTGGTACTTGCCTACTGTGTAGGCTTTCCTCTAATTACAAGGGATGCAGTTCCTGAAGTAATCATTCCTGATTTTCCTGTTTTGCCCTAGCCCATTTAAAACTAGATTAGGCTGCAGAGGAGATCCTTCCTTAGCAAGGAGGTGATTAGGTTTCTTTATTTGGAGTATTTAATTTCCAAGATGCAGGGGAAATTTCCAGTTTTCTGAAATATCTTTAGTTTATTGTTAGGCTGACTTTTAGGTCCTTCTAGGGCAAGGGCAATGATTGCAGTTTTGTCAGTGAAAATTATAGTGGTGGTGCTTATATCTATGGACAGGAATCTGGGAAGAAGTGGGCAGAATATGGATCACTTGGCTGTTGTCACTTCTCACTCCTGACAGAAGTGTCCCCTTGTTTTATGCTGATGTACTTAGGGAAACGAACCTGGGTCCCAAGGACTGCATTCATAGCACTTCTCAGAGGTGAAAATTTCTCAGCAGCGTAAAATGAGTCTGTTGCAAAACGCATTCCACTCACCCAAGTGATAAGAAACTGGTTCTCCCATTTCCCACTCAGATTTTGGGCACTATATGAGGAAATGCCTGCTGTCTCACCACTGGTGCTCGTAGCCCCTGGGTGGCAGAGGGGACACCTGAAAAACTTCTGCCTCTTCATTAGTTCCCTTCCACGAGGAGACCTGTGGTGGATGGCTTCTCTTGCTCACACTATGGGCACTTGGAAGAGATGTTCACACTGTGAGATTGGATGGCCTTCCTAACCTGGTAGGATTTAACAAGCTGCCAAAAATCTTTGGGTTAAAACCAAAACTAAGCAGTACAGACAACATCATTTAAAATATCTGCAAGTGCCTGGGGTTGGTCTATGTGTAATATGCCAGAACAGCAGCTCCTGTGGGGGAAAAATAATTTTTCCAGAAAAAAGTGGCATGCAAACAATAATGGGAAAATTCTCTCTCCCATGGCACTAGCAATGTGCCTTTACCCTGATGTCGTCCCAGAGCAGAGTTTGCTCTCTCTGGCCATTCAGTCTATGCCTGGTGAATGGACACAGATGTGATTAAGTGTTCTGCGAAGTCACTTGGCCACAATTGTCCCTGGTAATCAGGAGGGGAGATTAGCACATGGCAGCTATGGTTTTCTAAGAGACAAAGCTTGCTAGAGACAAACAACCTGCATGCTTTCTATCTGTCTCCTTTTCCCCATCCTCTGGCCTCTTCTTTCATGATTTACATAGCCATTGTTTAGGGTCAAAAGGATTCAAAGTAAATAATTTAGAATGAAGCAGTCAAGTCATAATGTGGAGAAAGCTGATAATGAGGATTAGCATTTGGGACTGGTTGCTGTAGATGTGGTGAGTAAACCGTAGAGCTGGATTATTTGTGTCGGTGATGCTGTGGGAGCACCGAAAGAACCTTTTTGGCAAAGGGGATGGGATAGTAGATGGGTTAATCTTTAAAAATGTAATTGAGCTGCAATACTAATTTTAATCAAGGTTTCTAGGAAGTAGGAAGTGTGTATTTGTGGAGAAGGAGATGATAAATAAAGCCAGTGCTGAGCTATTCCCAGTTAATTTGCCCTGAGTGGTGCTTCCTGAGATGGAGATTTCTGTCAGGTATCAGCTTCCTTTTCATACAGGAAAACATACAAAGTATGTGCAGGTTTCATGAAGTATTTCTCAGCAAGCTGAAAGGGCCACAGCTTGTTTGTAGGACAGGAGAAGAGAACCTTGCTTGTATACATGATAAATGCAGCAAAATAGTATTTATGGAGTTCCTATATGTTTCAGGATCTTCGTGATTTGAGAAGGAATAAAACTACTTAATCACACAGCCACAGCTGTCAGCCATGTAAGAGCAAGAGGGCAGAAAGAGAAACTGTGAAATGCTCAGGTCACTGCAGCCCAGGTGTGTTTGGAAAGACTTTCTCACCTCCCAGGTGCTCCAGGAACCTGGTGATAAGAACTGAAGCTGAAGGGAGACAGGGAAACAGCCCATCTACTTTAAGAGCTGCTATTATGAAGATGGAAATCTCCAAGATTGCACAGGGAATGGCCTGAATTGCTGCAGTGAAACCACAGGTTGGATGTAGGGTGACCATCCAGTTTACGGGTAATGAAACATAAGAATAGGCTGCAGACATGTGGAATTTCATCCATAGTTTTCTAAGAATTACTTGCACAACCTTCATCCGGGACGGTCTAATCCCCTGTGTGCCAGGCAAGACCTGGTGCAGGTACAGGGGATTACAGAGGAAAGTCTCAAGAATGCACCTTTCTGTGAGGCTGCTTGGTTTGTGAGGAAGGATTTCTGCTGAAATCTGTGGGCTCTGGATCTGACCCCAAATCTCAGAATTCCCTTAAATTTAAGATTAAGCATGTGCTTATGAGCTTAGTTTAATAGAGATGTATTAACTGGTTTAAAACCTGAAAAGGTACTCATATGGTGAGGCATCTGTATGTGGAAGGAAAACATGAATTAGTGAGATTCTAGGAATCCAATATGGACATATGCATGACCGAGTTCTTCTAGGATTTGAGTGTTTTGGGTGCACATTCAGTCCCAACCCATCTCACTGTAGTCTGTTAGTGCTCTTTCCACTGTGTTCTAATGGACTGGCCTGGTTTTTATTACAGTTACAGTTTGTGATAGTTTGCAATGCAAAGTCTAGTATAAAAATATAGATATATTAGGAAGCAGAACTGTGTAACGAGTCTCTCCCCTGGTCTTCTAGGGCAGTTTGTCTGCAAGCCTTTCTGTCTGACCTAAAATGTCATGTTTCAAAGCCCTGCTTCATTATCATGGCGCCTGTGAGCTGTAGTTAAGGGTCTGTTAGCAGCCCCGTTATAAATCCCTACTTCCAGGAGTTTATAATTCAGCAGTAAAAAAAATTGCTCTAGGCTGAAACTTGGCATATAAAGTCTCAGTGCAGGAGCAATTGTGATTTCTCCCTCCTTTATTTGTGCATTTGCTTATACACACACAACTCATTCAGTAGGTTTTTACTGTCCCCATTTGGCATTTAAAAAGATTAAATGGCTGGGTTATTAATATTTCAATACTGACTACTGTGCTTGGCCAGCAAATTGATTTACAGTGTCTGTTAACCCAGCTCTGTTTGATGGATACAAGTCACTGTTTCACAAAACTACTGCAAGGCTTTGGCTTTGTGTAAACAGCCCAGTGTGGATCGCGGTGCTTGTTCATTAGCTGGTGATTAACGAAGCTGGAAAACCTGAGTGTACTAAGCATGGCATCCTAGTCCATGAGTGGAAGCTATGTGTGGCTAAAGTTGTGTGGTCCCTGATCAAATATGGACGTGAAAGGAACTTGAAATGCTGTCTGTCCCCAGCATGATTTGATCTTATCCCTTGGTCCTATATAAATCTATTTCTGCGAGATCTTCAGTGGGGTTTTCTAATGCTATAAGGAAACAGAATCACAGAATATGAGGAGTTGGAAGGGACCTGGAAAGCTGCCCCAGTGCAACCCCTGCCACAGCAGGATCACCAGAGCAGTCACACAGGAACACGGCCAGGGCTTTGGGTGTCTCCAGACAAGGAGACTCCACAACCTCTCTGGGCAGCCTGGGCCATGCTCTGCCACCCTCACACTCACAAACTTTGGCCTCATCTTCAGCTTGAACCTCCTGTGCTCCAGCTTGGGACCATTGCCCCTTGTCCTGGCATTGGACATCCCAGAGCAGAGCCTGGCTCCTTCCTCCTGACACTGCCCTTTCCAAATGGATCCCCAGGAATGAGGGCACCCCTCAGTCTCCTCTGCTCCAAGCTCAAGAGCCCCAGCTCCCTCAGCCGCTCCTCAGCAGGAGATGCTCCAATCCCTCCAGCATCTTTGTGGCCCTGCTGGACTCTCTCAAGCAGTTCCTGTCCTTCTTGACCTGAGGGCCCAAAACTGGACACGGTTTGAAATGGTCCCAGCTCAAGTGTTTCCTCATAGAAGCTATGGTTCAGTGAAATCAGTTATCTCCTCATGGTTTTTTCTGGTTTACAGGAAATTTTAATATGGAAGAAGTTATTTCAATTTATTACTCCTCTAAATTATTTTAAAATGTATTTGAGTCTTATGGAAAACATTATCATAACTTCTATTTTTATTCAATTTTAGAATGTTTTTATAGGATATATAACATATTAGTACTGTAAAGTCCTTACAATTAAATTAGGGATAACAGAAATTTCTAAATATATAACACACACACACATATATTTTATATATATATATAATTAAAGTTAAAAATTAGACTTGTACAAGAATGAAATGGTGTAGTTTAAATGATTTTATTTTTTTTTAATTCCTTCAAGATCTGATTTCAGGCATTTAGTTCTGATCTGGGATTTGGTCACAGTTAGATCACAGTCTTTCTCACAAACCCCCAGAGCAGTTTGCTGTGTGCTGTAGTTTCCATACTTGGTCCTGTGCACAGGTGTTTGCACAATCGGGATCAAGGTGTCTGTTGTCATTAGTGTATCAAGCAGCAGTAATTCAGCACTGAAGTGTCTTCATAATTACAGAACTGAGTCATCCCCTGGACTTCCTCATTTCTTATTCCACCCTTCCACCCACTTACATTTGATTAATGAGGGCAGCCTAGGGAAGTTAGTTCTGTTTAGTATCTTTTGTTTATTGGTATGATAAATTAGAAATAATTATTGTAGAAGATTTGACCAGGTACTTAACAATCTAGTGTGAATGACTGAAGTGATGGAGCAGATTAACATCTCCCTGGCAGACTTCAAAGTCCCTGCATTCATTTATACCAGCTCAACATTTAGCTCTATTATTTTATCTTCTGCTGGATTATAGTCCATGCTCTAACCCAAGGGGTTTTCAGCTTCCTATAACTGATTTTTTTTCTCCTTTTTTTTCTGAGAAAACTGGCACAATGTCACACCTCACTGCCTAGGTCTGTTTGCTGTTGATTCAGTCTGGGGACACCTGAGCATCTCTGCAGGCTCTCCTTAGAGAGCCTCTGTGGGATCAGTGCAAGCCACGCTGGGCAGTTTGTTCTCCTTGGACCCAAGACTCATCCACTGTTTGCTTGAACCTTATCTTTAGGAAACATCCTGCCAGCTGGGAACCACCGTTCTGCACAAGTTTCCAGATGTTTTATTTCATGCATTTTAGTATATCAGGAATAATTTTAAGTTTTCTCTTTATTTGCTTAGCATGGCACACATATTGAAGACACTCAACAGCTGGTTCTGGTGGGAGAATATCTGGATGCCTATCAATGTCACATGGGAACATTTTGTGGACCGTGATGGACTTGTCTTTCCAAAGCCACATCAGTTATATGCCACAATACCGTATGCTTTTGTATTGCTGATTATCCGATTCTTAAGTGAAAGGTAAGAAATGTACACACTGTTTTATGCTAATGTTAATCCTCATTAATGGTAAAAAAATTTGAAAAATAAGATGTCTTTAGGCCAATGTTCTTATGTTTTCATAAAGGAGGATTAGTTGCTGGTTTGCTAGGAGGATCTGGTACAGATAATATGGCAGGTGACAAATTGGGAACTATTTCCACTTTTAGGAACATGTGGCTGTGGTCCAATCTAGAAGGAAAATATTTCTATCTAGCTTTGCTAGAGCAGTGTTTGGATAATACGAGTTATCTCCCTTTGCTAGAGATACCATTAATACAAAACCATTTGGGTGTTCTTTTGCTTTTTCCCCTTTGGTGGAAGAGTAGAGGTATTTGTCCTCCAAACCAAACCAAACCTCTCCTTTTGTTTGATCCTCCACCAGAACATTTGTGTGAGGCTGATAGATCCCAGGTGTCCAACTGTAGCAAACTGTACTAGGCAGACTGGAGGGATCTTTAAGTTTCACGTGAATATTTTATGCAGATCTAGTAATGCTGTTTCCTTATTTTCTCACTTTGATACTTGAAGATGGATTGCTTCTGCAGCTGGAATCTTATGGGACAGACAGAGGTTGGCTTCACAGAAGGAAGCTACAAATATATTAGGATTTTCAGTGCTTTAACTTATTTCTGCCTTTTTTTGTTTAGCTTTCTTTTTTTTTTGTCCTAAAGAATGCGATTAGTAGGTTTTTATAATTATTTCAGGATAGAATGAGGAAATTTGGAGTGTCATGAGTTGAACAGACTTAAAACAGAACCAGATAAGATTGTTCATGTTAGAGATCAAAAGTAATTTGGATCATATGTTTATAACCACTCACGGTGTCTCCTGAGTAAATGCTTGCCCAGCTGTGTCTCACTGCTCTGCTATTGGAAATTACTCGTGTGAGTAATTAGCCCACACATCTGGCCTGCAGTGAATCTGCCCGTGGATGAGGAGAAGTGACCGCTGCTATGAGCAATAAGGAATCAGTTGCTGATATCAGCAGGAGTGGGGGGGGGCTTTTTCAGAAAAGCCTGCCCAAGTAGAAGGGTGAAGCATTTTGGCACCAATTTCTACTGGAAAATGGAAGAGAGAGAGAGAGAAGTCTTCAGTCTCTGGGGGAGCTGCTGTGTGCCACAAGCCAAATCCAGTGTCCTGGGCAGTGGTAGCCCGGTGAAGCAATGTGCTAAGTGACTCTGTGCCTAGGAGAAAGTATCCCAGTAGCGATCTTTCAGCTCACATGGAGAGAGCATCTGTTCTTGTTTCTCTGTCCCTTAACTGTTGTTTAACTCCAGTGTGCCTCTGAAATACACACAGACACAGAAATCAGGACCATTCCTTTAGTTTTATAACATCTCACGACCACAAACTTGAGTCTTTTGGTTTGCTTTTTTGCATAACTGCTAATTGATATACTATGGTTCTTTCTTGGGTGTAGCTAAAGGGACATTCCTTTGTCTCGCAGTGCACTGTCATATCCTATGATATTTTCTTCCTATCCTGACATGCAAATAGCTAAGGTCTTGTAACTGTGTTGCATTTTCAAAGTTTTTCATGGTATATCTTTTCAGATTTGTTGCTATACCTCTAGCAAAAGCCTTAGGTATAAAGAACGTAAGACGTGTGAAGCCACAGCCTAATCCTGTTTTAGAGAGTTATTTCCGGGAGTGCTCAAGACATCCATCCCAAGTAAGGATTCTCATTCTTTTAAACTAGTTCTGGTTTTGGAAGATCCCAAGTCTTACTGTTTCAATCAGCTATCAGCAATGACCTCATGGGATGTGGTCCAGCTGATTGACAGATGACTTAATTTATTTGGGTTTTAGTTGCTGTTCTGCTGACAAGGGTATATGGCATCCAAACCAGAAAATACATTTAAGATGTTTAATTTTCTGGCGTGCTGTTCTAGGTTAGAACAGTTAATGTTATTTCCAGTGAGGGTAAGTGTTCCATCTTTAACTCATTCTGCCTGGAGAAAACATCAGCTGACATCTGTTGTTGGAAAGTGGTATCCTATTTATTGCAAGCAATAATATTGGAACGCTGGCATGGAAGCCTTTTGATCCGTTATATTGCTGCATACGTAATCCTGGCTTATGTGAGAAAGCAAAGCAATCTTTCTATTACCTTGCTGTTTGTTTTTAAAATTGAACCAGAAAAAATAATAACCAATGTTTACCATCACAAAAAATGAGGCAACTTGATTGCTGATGGGAAACAGGCTGCTGCGAATGTGGCCTCAAAGTTCACTTACCTAACTACAGTAACCAAACAATTGCAGTGTTCCTACGCTGTTTTTGAAAAGAAATATGTGATTTCTAGTAGTGAGGGATACTGATGATTATTGATACATGTAACTTTGCTATCTCTCCCTAACTGTGCTGTTCCTTTACTGTGTCTTTTGCCTGATATCATCAGGAATAGATGTATTCGTGTTCACATACGAGCTCTTCTCTATTTGGGCAAGTATCCCAATCTCTGTTTCACACCTTCCTTCTGCATGAGTACAGCTTGACAATTAATCTCTGAAGGGAAGCACAGCATTTTTATGCTTGTGAGTCCATGGGAAATATTCAGACTGCCTCTTTTAGGTGTCCAGCTTGGGAACCAGCGTGCCTAAGAATGCATACAGAGGATTGAGGGCATCCAGGCTCCACTGCCTGCCAAAACAAAGCCATTACTCCTGCATGGCAAGTGGAGAGCTCCCCAGCCAGTGGGATGGGCTGATCCCAGAGGCTGTTTGTTTGCACCTCTACCCTCCCTGGCAGCCGAGGTGTCTTTGCTCGCATACCAGAGCTTTCTCTGAGGGTAGGAGGGTAATTGAACTGGACTAACCTTGGTGGAGGCAGTGCTGCTGCCACCCACTATTTGCACACTAGCCTCGGGGAAGGAGCATCCCCTGGGATGAGTCACCACCTCCACTCCTGCAGCAACCCCAGGAGAGGTCAACCCGCACCTTCCACACTTTGGGATGAAGGAGAGAAGGACGAAGCTTACGGGCTGCTGCACGGGGGGTGCTGAGCACCCAGAAATGCAAGGGTCACATTGCCTCATGCTTGGCATGTGCTAGTGTGGCTGCACGGCAGAGCTGCTTCACCTTCAGAGCACACATCAAGCAGAGATGCCTGACTGCTGCACTTGAATGGCTAGATGCATTTCTAACCTAGAAACCAGTGCTCTAGTCCCAGTTTATTTTTAGGTGTCCAAAGGATTTTGCTCAGCAAGATTAACTGACTTGCCTTGTACCACAGTGTCCTGGTTTTGCTGGGACACAATCGCAGATTCAATCCCAGCAAAACCAGGACACACAGAAGTACATTGGATTTGAGAACAGCTCAGGTCATCTTAATTCCAGGTCTGTGTCTCATCTGCAAGGCTTATTTAAGTATAATCTAATACTTAATAATACTAATCTAATAATTAATTATACTAAGATGTTAGATATAATGACCATGTGTGTTGATATATGGCACTTAGCCTTCCAGCCCAGCTTTAGCAGTACAAGTTGCGTCTTTGAAACCACAGAAGCCACCAGAAAGACAATAGCAAAGTTTGTGGATCCATGCCTGCTTTATTTATATAAATTAGTGGCTCAAAAATCTTGGGTTTCTGTGAGTGTCACTCAAAAATTAAACCAGGAAGCCTGCAAGGTAAACCCCCAGAGATAGTTAATATCAGTAATATTTTTAAATGAAGACATTACAACAGTGGGAAGCTGACATGTGAGCTACAAAATAAATGAAGATGACGTTGGAGTGCATGTTGTTGCTAACACTATTCCATTTTTTGCAGTCAGAGATTCAAGGCCTTGCCAAAAAGTGCAACTGGACGGTCCATTTGGTGGAAAAGTGGTTTAGGAGACGGCGAAACCTTGAAATCCCAACAGTGCTTCGGAAATTCCAGGAAGCTTTGTAAGAAAAGACAATAATTTTGGTTATTACGGATTTTACTGCTTTGAAAAAAATGATTCAGGTCCTCGGGTACCTTTTAAGAGAGCCTCATTTCCAGAAAGCTGGGTCTGTCTGACAATGGTTTTGGTTTGTGCACACACAAATAAATTGAAAGAATCTAGTAGCGTTTCTCCAAATAGTGTGACTTTAAAAAAATTAGGATAAGAGTTTCTCCTGAAAAAAACTCAAAAATATTTTACAGTTTTCTTCACTGTGTAATAATGAACTTATTTATGGGCTTCCTGCTACATGGTGCTTAATGAAAACATGTAGAGAATAGGAAAATATTTTTCTGTCTGCCAGTAATCATAGGGAAACAAAAATACTTACTCACTCTTGTTTATGTATGTACCCATGCTGTCATTTTGAGATGCTATTATGCATACAGGAGGCAGGTCAAGAGCAGGAATTGTGGCATCCTAACTAAATGATAGGTGTTACGGCTTCAGCACGGGGTCCTGTGCAAAAGATGAGCTCAAATAGACTGATAAGAGTGGGCCATTGAGAAATTTTGAGTGAGAATAATGAATGTGGAAAAAGTTTCAAAGCCTCCTGCACACGACTGAAAACTGGAAAAGCATTCAAGAGCCTGATTTTTCACAAATGTGTGAGAACTTCCCCAGGCCTAAACATTTTACCATTTAATTACTCAAGTGTCATCCAAAACCTCATACAAATTGCAAATCCCAAAATGGGCATGGCTTTACTTACATAGCTCATCACTTTTGGATACTGAAATTAACTGTACCACTGTAAAACACTTTCCTCATGTCCTGTGTATTTGGATTTTTGAGTAGCATAATTACATTGGCAAAAATTAACATAATTATAATGTGTAACCTCTTTTAGTGTAAATTAGCTTAAGGAATAAGGGCTAAAAGTACAGCTACAAAGCTCAGAGTTGAGTACTTTATCAGCATTATTTTCAGTGTGAATCAGTATGGTAATGATTGGATGATGTTCTCTGTTGGGCGTAAATTCAGTTGATAGACACAGATGTGTCACTCTGAAACTCAACTGAGTTAAGCGTCCTGGCAAACCGATATCTGTGGTTTATTTCTGCTGTTTTATGCATCAGTTAATTTTGTTTCACAAGTAACAGTGAGATATTCTGCTATTGATAAAAGACTTACCTGCCTTGGATGCACGTCTCTAGTAATAGACAGCCAAAGACCGAAATGAAAACTTGCTTGGCAGCTCGAGTGAGAATGAAGCAAACATGTTTCTCTTGTGCAATTTCGTGAACCTTGCGCTGCTCTTCTTGGTGAATGTAATTGGATGTAATTCTCAAGGCAACAAATGAGGAGCAGAGTTATTCCATGCTAAGAGTGTTAGGAGCATCATGAGATTTCTGAAAGGCTGCAATCTTCGGGATCATTTTTCTGAATCACACGGAAATTCTGATGAGCCAGATTAAACCATACTTAAGGTATTAATGCTCCCAGTTAAGCAACACTGGAGTTTGGAAAGCCCTTTGCACAAAAACTTCCCTGCTTTAAAACACTCACCAGCCTTTAACTTCACCTACTAAATTCTTTTTTTGTTAGAAGAGAAAATATTCCTGACGTTAAATAAGAAAATCCTTCTGCATAGCTGTGGTGGTCAGGTTCAGAGCCTAGGAGGTGCTTGTTGGGTAAAATCTGGTGTATTTGGATGAGTTTTACTTCAGGTTTTGTTCACCAAATTCAGACAGAAGCTTGGCTAAATGCATAATGAGGTAGTGCTCTGCTCTGGCAGTTTTGCACATATAATGAGTTCATCTGAAGCACTGAGCGTTTACTGCCAAATGTGTTCAGTGTATATTTGTAGTGCTGGGGAGTATTGGCATGGTCTTGTTGGGTGCTCTGTGCTTTGAATCTGATTCAGAAAACCACTTACGCTTTACTATCAACACAGAATCAGTCCTGCTGTATCCACTGGACTACTCACACCTCCTTTGCTTCAAATAGGAGATGCGAGGGCAAAATAGGTCTCTGTGTGAAAAGTCTGTCCCCTGCCACGGTGGTGTTTTCCACAGCATCTCTTGGTTAACTCTGAGCCAGGTGTTACTTGTGGGTTCCAATCCTACCTCCCATTTGCTCTCCTTATTTCCACCATGCATCTTTGAATTTTTCTGCCTGCTCAGTGGCTGTTCTGAAGTATTATTTACAGATCATCTCAGAAAAGATGCTTTAAAGTTGAGAAGTAGAATGATTGTTTATTACCAGTGTATCAAGTGGCAGGTTTATGATCGTTTCCTTGACTTCTTCCACAGGTGTGAGACATATCTTGTCTAGCCTTCACCATTGCATGTCCTCATCTTTTGTTTGGTTGGTTTTTTGGTTGTAAAATTTTGACTCAATCTTTGAACATCTTATTTTTTCACCTGGGAATGCAGGTCTCAGAAAGGAGGGGCTGCTCTTACCAGACAGGTTCTCATCGTTTTTCTCTCATATGGTACTTCATTCATATTTGCCAAAGTCCTCAATCTCATTTTTATACAATTCTCAATCCATTAGTACAGTGCTATTCTTAAGGCTTTCTCTTCTTCTTTTTAGCAAATTTAGCCTTTCTGGGAGGCTGTTGGCTGCCCTCCTCTTGTTCTATAAATGCTCTCACCAGGTTTGAAGCCATCTCTGTGATCCTGACCTTTCTCAGCATGTGAAGTCCCACAGTGTTTTGCTGCTAATCTTGAAGAGCTGCTCTGTGAAAGGTCAAGCTTGTTCCTGCCAAGGAGAAGAGTGGGAAGGAAGGAGTTTTCCATCACCTGTAGAGGCGGGAGTGGGAATGCTCCGGCTGAGTCTCCAGCCGCACCCAGTCCCAGGGACAATACCTCCCACTCAGGCTCTAGAGTCATTACAGTGCTGATTGCTGACTCCGGATCACAGCATCCTGCTCTGCCAACGTTGTTTTGGTTCACTAAGATACAGAGGAACTTTTTTCCCTTTGCTGACTTATCAGCTCAGTGGTGAAAACCTGAAAGGTTCATCTGCCTTGATGGATAAATGCTGGCAAGCCTAGTCAAAGATTGATGTTTATGGTTAATTTAGACTTCTGTGGTGAGACATAAACTAATCCAGTATTGTTGTTAAAGCTTCATGGACCTCCCCTGTTTTCAACTATCAGTGTTGAGAGAGATCAAAAGAAGTTAACTTGGTTATCGAAACAAGTCACTGTTGGTGCTCACAGGGTTTGATCAGATTGGAAAGTGTGTGCCACATGGCTGAAGGTCCTTCTGGAGTCAGGAAACTGAGAGGTGTTCTTAGTCCAGTGTGAATATTCTAGCAGGACTGATACAGCAAAAAACATTGGTGTTATAAAACATGAATTTTTAGGGAATTTATGACATTTGCTGTGGCTGCTTTCTTGATCAGCTCATGCCTGGCTGGAAAATTACTGCTGTAATCACACTAGAGATACCTGGTTTGCGATAATGCACGGTAATTTACTACTTCAGTGGTTATTCAAAGCGTAAGTATTTAAATAGTAATAATTCAGGTATAGTTAATATGTGACAATGTGAGGACACGTATATGTTAAGGTAGTCTGTGATATACAATGATTTGCAGTAACTCTGTCTCAGGATTTTATCTATAAAAAAATGTAACGCTTTGTTCTTATTTTTTCATTTTAATTTTGCAGCTGGCGATTTTCATTCTATCTTGCATCCTCTATTGCTGGATTTATATTTCTGTACGATGTAAGTTAATTTTTTGAAGGATTTATATTCTCTCTTTTTAGCAAAATAAGGACTGATTTCTAGATCTTTTTGAAGCCCATTGAAAGACTCGCTGGCTTCAGTGACTCTGGGTCCAGAGCTCTGTATGTATGTGATCTAGATGACGGGCTGCAATGTGCACTGTGGTTTTACTTATTTTTTAAATTCTCTTTTGAACTTCTATGATGAAGTAACTTATGACTAATCAGTATTTTTAAGGAAAGCTTTAAGAAGTCACGCAGATGATTTTACAACATGCCTTATTAACACCTACAAATGCATCACGTGGCCCTGTTTCTCTCAGAGGAGGCCATAAACCTGTTCTGGCAGCACGTTTGGGGGTCACAACAATGGTGCATTTCACTGCTATTTATTGAGGTGTTGCTGCTAAGTCAGAAGTAGGGAATAGCTATATGAGCACTGCCTGGGGTGTCATTAATGCTCCTCCTGAGCAACAGAACAGTTCTCAGCATGTCTACGTTCATCTGGCTCTTCTCCCCAAACACTGTTTATCATCATGAACCAGTGATGTGTGTGGCTGGTAAACACAGCAAAATTTAATCACTGTGGCAACATACCCTGAGTAATTGCAGTAATAAAACACACACCCACTGCTTTGGATGATGAAATGATGAACGGGAATGTCTCAGGTGTCCCAAAAAGAAGCCAAAAAGCTAGGACCAATGTAATAAATCTGAGATGTAAGATGCCTTTAGAAATTGGTGGAGGGCAGCAATCGAGACTATAGCTTCTTAGCCTGCTCCACTTAGAGAAATGTGAAGTATTGAAGTCTTTGAGTTAAGATGAGTTATTGTTGCTCAGCTGAACAGTCTGAATGATCTGTCTTCCCCAGAAACCCTGGTTTTACGACATATGGCAGACGTGGGTTGGCTACCCGTTTCAGGTGAGCTTTTTGGTGTTGGGCCATTGCCCTCGAGGCATCCCAGGTATTTCCCCACTGGAAGGGCTAATCCACAGAAGCACTTCTCCCTCCCAATGGGCACCACCTTAGAGAGGTGCGGCACCAAAGCTTTTTGCCTTTCTTTGGTACCTCCTGCCGACTGTCGCGGGACTTCTCCATCACCTGCCCGTGCTGCAGCTCAGCCCTCCAGCCAGATCACCCTTATTTCCACCCATCCCAGGTTACCAGTTGCAGACGCTCTCTGTGTTTCGGGTTTCACTAAGCTTGCACCAGTCCTGATGATGCTTCAAGGCGCTGCAGAATAGAGTTACACAGAGGATTGTGCCGAGTGCCTGCTGGGCCCTACTGCTCAGTAGCGCAGGTGGAGGGAGCACTGCAGTGATCCCTGCTCTGGGGATCTCTGCTCAATACTCTGGTTGCTCTCTCTAAGAGTCATAAGGCTCTTATTTCTTCCTAAAATATTGTACTAACAGTCCCATAAAAGATGACTCCCAGCAAGCTTCCTTCTTGCCCACCGGCCAGAGATTCTTACGTTGTCTGCCACTTTCCACTTTTATAAATCTGTGGCCCATCACACTGCTGCCACCTTATTTCTCTCCTACTCTGAGGCCAAAAATAAAAAGAATCTTGTGTCCCAGCTGAGTTTTCCCAGCTTCTCCAACTCATGGGACCTGATAACCAAGCCTGCTTCCAGCTGCCTGGGAAATAATGTGCTGAACCAAGGGAGCAGCCAAGCTCAGCATCCAGCCCTAAGCAGATGCATAGGATTTTAGCATAAATAGCTGACATCTTAGTCATGGCATATGTGAATGTCTAAAATGTTAATTGTTCAAAATGGAGGGCTTCATTTATTTGCAGTTGTTTGTAATTAAACGCAGAAGCACTCTGTGTGTAGTTCTCTGACAAAAATATAGGAAAAAGCATGTTAAAATTCAGAAGTGAGGGAGAAACTGCTGAAACTGAGAGTTTGGTCTGAGTAAATGTTAAAATATTTGGCTCCCAGAACATCCTTCTTAATGAAGCCCAGAACAGGGATTTAGATTAGTTTAATTTTTTAAGCAAGACTCAGCAGAGGAGCAAAAGAAGTGAGGAAAGGAAAAAAGAAGTCATTTCACTTGGCATTCACTTTTTGCTGCTCTCAGTTAACTGTGGTTTTCTCTATTGCAGACTCTGCTGCCATCCCAATATTGGTACTACATGGCTGAGATTGGGTTTTATTGGTCTCTCTTATTTAGACTTGGGATTGACATCAAAAGGAAGGCAAGTGGTCATGCTTGTTTGTAACTAGAACCTGTGGGGGGGAAAAAATAGTTTGTAAGGAAAAGCACTGTCCTGGTACTGGATTTGGTGCAGCCACATGAGGGCAGCATCAGGCTGTCCCTGGCACACCTGCACACATCCGTGCTGTCCTGGCTGCAGGGGCATCCCTGTGTGTGTGACAAGTCTTGCTTGTCACTGCATCCGGATGGAGACCCTAAGGACTGTACTTGCTTTGATCTACTCTTTTTTAAATTCTTCTTCTTCTTCACAGGATTTCATGGCTCATGTCATTCATCACTTGGCAGCCATTGGGTTGATGAGTGGCTCTTGGTGTGGCAATTACGTGCGTGTTGGAACGCTGGTGATGTTTGTGCATGACACAGCAGATTTCTGGCTTGAGGTAACCCTGCCCTCCGTGTTTTATTTTTTTGTTTTGTGTGTTTTGGTTGGTGAGAAGTGGGGGTTCTTTTGGTTGTTGCCCAGGTTGTGTTCGGTGACATTTTAATTTTCTGGCCACAAGTTTCATACGATCCCTTCCTATCCCCACAGACATGGTTTCACAGATTCATGAACTGTAAGATAAAAAAGAGCTTCTGAAAATTTCAGCTGATACTCTGTTACAGAATCCATTAGGAGAGAAGTGCAGAAGAGAAGTTGTTCAGTACAGAATGGGGACTGGAAATACAGCTGCTTCTCTGGATTATTCTTGTTTTATTGTTAAAATTAGACCAAGTTGGCTAGTCTGTGAACAGCTTGTCATGATACCAATTCTCATGCAAATTTAGCAGCCAAAATTCTGGCTACTTCTCCAAACTGACTTAATTTTGTCAATTCACACCTCTGTGTTGACCCAAGGGGTACATCTACGTTATCCAGTCCTGGCTGGAGACACTCAAGCTGTCCCTGAACAAGGTATTGCAGGTATCTACTGGCAGAAGAAAAGCCTCTTCCCCCTTTGCTGCTGGGTTTCTTGGAAGGCAAATGCACACACTGTTTTCTTCAATAGTTATCTTGGGTTTATAACACCAAGGTTGAGAGCATAGGATTGTCATCTCTTTTGGTGGCAGTGCCAGTGCAAGCAGCCCTTGTCGGCTGTTGTCTGTCATTGCTCATTTCTGCTCCTGATGCTCTATTTGTTGTAGTAGCAAAACTGACTGTGGGGTCATGCAGTTGGGATTGGTGCAGGTTAAATGCATACATGCGGGATTTTGCTGAGTGATTTTTTTAATCCTCAACTGCTTTGTGGTCCAGGTTAACCCTGTGTCCGTACAGTGGAGCTGACAACTGGTGGGACAGCCCTTAGATGGAAACTGAAGTTGAGTACCAGAATAACTTAATTCAACCTTGACACTCAAAAGTTCATCAAGCTGCTGTTTAAGACTGTGGTTTGGCACCTGAAGCTTTGCTTACACTTGAGAGCAGCTGTTTCATTCAGCAGTGCCCAGGGTGATTCCTAAATGAAGGAAACGTACAGTTCAGCTAGGGGAGAAGCAGTAATTATAGTCTTTATTAGCAGGGTAGAGACCAACTCTAGGATCTGAAGCCCTCAAACAGGAGAACACAGAGGCTGAATTAGCCACAGGGCAGGGTCAGTAACGTGCGTGCCCCAGAATTCCTGTGTAAGCGATCACTGCTGCTCCTGAGCATACAGATGTGGCCAGCGGCTTCTCTTTGATTCAGCCTTTGATACGGAGTCCTTTCCTTTAAGAGGAAAAGAGAAATATAAACAAAGAGTCAGTTTTGGTACTGCTTTATTAGGTAGCGGTAAAATGATTGCTTTGCATGTCAAACAAGGAGGAAATTTTCTTCTTGCTTAGGTGGAAGATGAGTCCTTGTTTATGAAAATGCAGAGAGGAACGTATTTCAGAGAATATTTGTAATATGTTTGATGGTTTTTATTCAATGCAGGCAGCCAAAATGTTTAATTACGCTCACTGGGAGAAAACCTGCAATATGCTCTTTATCCTCTTTTCTATTGCATTCTTCATCACAAGAATCATCCTCTTCCCCTGCTGGTAAGCAATATTTAATGTAGACACAGGCTTTTATTTCATTTCCACTGAGAGGTTCATGTTGGTAGTGGTGGGAAAAGGAAAGGACTGGATTGGGCTTTAAAGAGCAGAAGCAGAACTTTCATTGTTGTTGGCTACTAGTGAGGAGAGTTCATTTTCTTTAAAAATTTAAGTAAAAATAGATTTTAAATGAGCCTCTTGAAAATATGCTAACCTAAAGAAGGGCTTTTATGTATTATTTAACTTATTTTCATAAATTGTAGTTCAATGCTATGAGCTACTTACTTAACTAGAAGAAATAATTTTCCCTTTCATTGCATTCCTCCTGCTGTAGCTGCAAACTCAGAGTACAGTGTGATTCCTGTATGATTGTAGTCAATTTTTTGTAGTCTCTATGTGCTACCTACTTCTTGGGTAGTGCCTCGCCTCGCTCATGTGAAGAGCATTCAGAAAAATCAAGGTGAACCAATTAATTTGTTAAATCAACACAAATAAATCGTAACTTGCTAAATACTCGCATGACTTTGGAGTGCTCTGATTTAATCTGCTTTGGAGAATCCACATGGGTGCTTAGTGTGCTTAATGCGTAACACGTTTAGCTTTTTAAAAGTGATAAATGTGTTTCACATTCATGGTTTCATTGACTTGCTCTACTTTGCCTTTGTGCCCCTCCCTGCATGTGGACAAGGCCTTAGAGACTCAAGCTGGTTAAATTAATAGTTCTGAACATTGATCAACACAAGGTTTTAATTTCCTGCAGTATTTTCTTTCAGAAATGCTGATGTCTTTTACTTTCTTGTTATTTTTTGATTAACTATACAAGTGATCTCCGATCATTTTGCTTCACTGAGTTTCTTGTTCTGGAGTTCTTGAGCTTGGAAGCAAAACGTGATGAGATTAAAGGGACTCAAAAAGTCCCAAATAATAGAGAAGTAGTGAAGTATGAAGATGGACAAAACATATGTTAATTAACAAAATGCCCTGTTGCAAGGCCTGTAAGATTTTTCTCTGCAGTGTGGATTTCAGATTAGAAAGAATTTGTATTTAAAAAATGGCATAGACACAGTGCTCCATAGCATCTAGACCACACAGGGCTCAAGGTTTTTAAAAAAGTCTTTTTTTTCTATCCTTCTTTAGAACATTTCCATTCAAGACTCACATTTCTCATCTTCTGAAGCCTATATTTCAATAGAGATGCATAATCCTGTTAAGACAGGGCTTGTTAATTAATCTGTCATCTTTGCAGACCTTTGTAATATTTTGTGGAAAGAGTTAATTGGTTTTGAATGTGAAATTAAACATAGAGGAGGATTCTTGCACTGTAACAGTGACCTTTATTTTTTTAGGATTCTTCGTGCCACGTTGTATCAGCCTACATACTACTCCACGACTCCTGTCATAGCGTATTTTCTATTCAACGGGCAGCTATTGATCCTCCAAGGCTTGCATTTATACTGGGGTTACTTAATTCTCAAGATTTTGAAAAGGTTCATTTTCTATAAGGTAAGCGATTTCACTTCTGCAGAAAGTTGTGTGAAGTATCAAACAGATGCTAATACCTCCAATATATTTACTTGGAGTTTCTTATTGTTCTCCTGAACTTTTGTGTCAGCATTTCTGATAGGGGTCTACAAAGTATAGAGCTGTTGAAATGTGCTTTCTACCTCTCATTGGCACATTGGTTTGTAGATCAAAACTTTATCAAAACTTCAGCTAAAGCCTTTTTTTGCCTGTATCTGATGTCTTGCTCCTATAGCAAATGAGAAATGAGCTCTCACAAAAACTGAAGCCCTAAGATGGTGCACAACTCTAGAAATTCCTGTGTTGTGAGTGAAATCAGCCTTTTCTCACTGGATTTTGTAGGGGATATAGCAAAAAAGGAGAGAAGTGAGTGATGAGATCTTTAAATACTGCAGAAAACTTGTAGTCAAAGTTCTTCAGGTTTGTCTAAGTCTGAGGTCAGCTATACTTGAACACTGGTTTTGGATAAAGAAAACCGTATAAAGCTGATCTGGTATTACATTATGACAATGGAATACAGACATATTCAACTGGGGTAGAGACACAGTGCAAGGCTGGTGCCGCCATAATCTGCTTTTACCGTGTAGAGAAAATTCATGTGGGGAAAAAGCTATAAAGAAAACTTTGCTGCAGTTTAGGTCTTGTTTGATTGCCTGAAGTAGCGACGTTTTCACGAGGTCTCTTGTCACGAAGTGTGCAGTGTGATGCAATGTAGAGAAAACATTTAGCAAAAAGCATTTAGAAAAGGACTTTGGGTAATGTGTCTTTAGGTTTGGCATAAGCATTGACAGCTGTATTTTGCTAGTTAAGATGAAACTGAAGTTGTGCTTTTGAAAAATGGTATTTTTTTGAGTATCAGGATGGAAAAACTTGAGTTGACTCTGTCCTTTTATCTGAAGCAGTTAATGCTGTGAAGCATTGGAAGGAAACGGGAAATATTCTTTTCTACCCTTATTAATTGCTGTTTGATAATAGAAACCATCCTATAATTCTCGGGTTATTGGCTTCCTTCAGCTCTCATGCAAATGGACAGCTGGATACCATAGGGAGACCCAACAGTTTCCCTAGGAGAAAACTAGAGTCACAAACTCAACTGTTGTTAGACAGCAAACAGCTGTACCTAACGGACAGATCTTCAGAAGAAATGGCTTCTAAAACATGCTCCTATGTTCCCTTAGACACCGAGAAGTTTGTATTTCTTGCATGTCACCTCTGTTAGATTAATTAGAAAATTATTTCTGGCCTGGCTTATTGAGTGTTAGTGTTTTACTTCTCATTTTCTTTTTTGATTTTGGCCTTGTCTCTGTGCTGTTCTCACACAACTCCTCTGATGAAATCAAGAGGGACATCCCTCTGCCTTCCAGCTGAGTAAGAGGAAGGCTTTGGCTTCGTGCTGCATCCGCATTGGCTGAGGTTATAAGAGTACAATGCAGGGAGGTCTTCAGATACAGTGGTGGAAAGGAAAATACTAGGCCAGCTATATAAGGCCATTCTGCCCTGCCTGCGTACGTGCCTTTGTAAGGGGCAGAAATGTTTTATTTTGAAATAAGAGCTTTTTTGTATTAGTCATTGCTAAAAAATGGGAAAGCATCAAGCCTGCATCCCTACCCTAGATTTTTGATTCCTTATACAGCTCTCTGAGAAGACAGTTTCCAAATAACACTTTACCAGTGGTAGCAGCAGCCCTAGCCCTTTTCGGTCTGTGTGACTTCAGCTGGCCTGCATGTGCAGCCTGGTTTCCATAGCGGTGGCAAACTTGGCTGTGAAAGCAGCCAGGACCTCCAGGGCTGTAAAGGCAACGTTGAAAAGAATGGTGTTCACAAGGCAGCGTTTTTATACCAACGTATTTGTTGTAGACATACTCACACAAATAGCTGTTGTTATTTTAGTGAAATACCAGTAAACCATCATCCTTGTATTAGAGGGTTTTGTTTCTCTGGACAAGACTTAAGCTTTCATTCAGAAAACAGACGATTTTTGACATTTTTCTTGAAGGAAGTTAGCTACTTCAGATGGAAAAACGATCTCATGATGTAACTGGGAATAGAGACTGATGTTGTTTAACTGAAGGAAGCTCTGAACACTGCAGGGGTGTAAGGAATATTTTCAGTGCCCTCTGTGCCTTGAGTCACACTGTGTTGGTGGGGTCACCAGTGAAAACCACTGTAGTGCAGCAGTTAACAGCTCCTAGCGTCCTGCCAGGAACTGGTGTCCCCCAGTTGTAGCCTCCTGGACCATGGCATCGTACTGTCTGCAAGTTAATGGGTTTGAATGGATTTAATCTTAGTGTGCAGTGCTGTTGCCCCTTGTTGAAGGACAGGTCAAAGGACTTGTCTGGGCCAGACATGAAATGAGGTCTAGGCATGAAATGTGGGCCTAGATTCAATATTTCTTTTCAGATTGTGGCAGGAGGCTTTGTTAAAGGCAGGAATTAATAAGAAATGATATCACGTACTGCAGCACTGTGAATTCATAGCTGCTTCTATGCTTTACTCTTTGCCCTCATGAAGAGATGGCTCTTGACTGAGACTGGCTGGTCAGGAGCTCTTCACCTCAGATGTCACCTCCGCTCTGCACTGATAAAAGGGACAGTAATCCTCAGCCCTCTGGGTTAACTGCTCAGCCAACTGACTTGGACTAAAAATATTGCAATTTCCCTCCTTCCAGATACTGCAGCCAGAGATGAATAAAATTGAGGAAAAGGGACAGAATGGAGGAGCTGATCTTGCTCAGACCCTCTGTGTCCTATTTTCTCAGGCATTTTTTCTGGCAGCACAGAGCAGCACTGGTGTCCAGGCTCACGGGACCTGTGCCACCTTTCCCCTGGCCCAGTCCTCCAGAAATGCCCTAACAAGGGGGAAACCTGTATCAACAACCTAAGTGATGCTCAGTTACTTTGCAGGAGTATTACATTTTTCAAATCAAAGGTCGTTCTTCTGGAAAATATAAAAATACTCCAAAAGGAACCCAAATATCCTTTCTTATGTGACATTTTGTGACCCTGCACATGTGTAAGGCATACACATGTAAGAGAAGCCCTTCAAGGTCAGAGCTGCAGCCATGTATCTTAGATCAGCTCTGCTGCGAGAGGAAGAAGGACATTTTTTAGGGTAATTTCTTCTCAGGTTAGGTCAGGCAGTTGCAATGTTAGCTGCTGGCTGCCATCTTGATGGCCAAGGCCTTTTGTTGCTAAGAAACTCCATGTGTTTCTGTAATATTGTTCAATTACATGGTTAAATTACCCACTCGTATCAAGTTTCAAGCACCATTGAAACATGTCTAGTCATCATGTCTGCACATATGACAATATTTTAGGAAAACTGAAAAAGCATATAGAGAAGTATGTACATGTGCACTGATTTAAAATATCTCGCCAGGAAAATCCCATGGAGATTAAACATTTTATTTCCAAGGTCAGAAAAAGGGAGCGAATGACAGCAGCTTAGAGCCACATTATTACAGCAAATTAAGATGTAACATCTATGTTAAAACCATTACACACTGAGTTAAGGTTTTGAGACTTTAAAGCTTGAAAAATACGTGTAAGTTGTAGGAAATGGGCATGATGTCCACATGACTGAGATGCTTCAGGGCTGATGCAAAGTCCGTCAACGGTGGAAGGTAGTGGCAGGTTTTTAGCGGACTGTAATGTGACCGGGAATATGTTTTCTTTTTATCTCGCTTATTTTGTCACCATCAGACTGCATTCAAGTAAGAGAGTGAGCATCTTACCAGTGGTCTCTGTTATTTAAGAGTCATCAGGTGCAGGTTTATTTGACTCACTGTGATTCTTTCCTCTTCCTGAAGGAGAGAAGACCCCTGGGGTCCTGCACTGCTCTAGAACAGGCTTTTGGACTTGGCACCCTTTACAAAAATCAGCTGGTGCCACCTATGTATTTTCACTATTTCTTTGGTATTTTGTCCTTTAGAAGCAGGCTTTTTAAAGATTTCACTTGGGTGTATCCTTGTTCATTCCTTATTTGGCCCAAATTCCCAAGGGAACAGTGTGAGTGTTTAAAGAATGACTAAGGACAGAGTAAGGGTAGCTGAAAATAATGAGAAAATACTGTTTTGGGATTGAAATGAGAGCCGTGAAATACTTGTTGTGATACTTCTGCTGTTTCCAGCAATCATTCTTCTACTTCAGTCATTTGTTCTGTCTGAGGATTCTCTCGTACTGAGAGATCTCTGCCTGCTCAAGTTCACTTTCTTTTCTTCTTTCTACTGTGCTGACACTGGGATCCAGTAGAGTCCTTGCCCTAAAAGTGGTTAGCCATATAGAGACTCCTGAAATCAGTTACTCCCCTTTCTGTATCCAAAGATAGACTACTAAAACTACAGCCCTAAAGGTGTGTCTGTGGTCTAGAATACTTCACATATTTTAATATTAATGTGTAGGCAAGGCCTGAAAGTCCTTTTGGTCACAGCCATTTGCTCTTTTAAGACATAGATAGTGGTTCACTACACCTGCAGCGGTGCTGGCCTGTGTTACTTCCTATCTTACTTCTTGTGAATTTAACTCTTTATAGACTTTCTATAACCCTTTGTATAAGTTTTTAAATGAAGTTAAACAGTTCCCAGGGGCTGTACTACCTGCTCCTGGCAGTTGCCTTGAGCTGATTTTAATCTCGGGCTCTTCAGACTCGCTTCAGCTTCTGCAGAGGTTCCCTTCCGTGGGATTCTTTTATTATGGTTTTCACCTTTCTTTTTTGTGCTTGGTCTGTTTGCATCAAACAGAACTCTTATTTTTAAAAAATCATTTGAATCTATTTATTTTGTAGCCATGTGGATCCTGGAAATATGGAATTTCAGTGCTGAACTTGGGGGAGAGTTTTCTTGTTCATGAAGCACAGGCCCCCCGCCTGTTGTTTCAAGCAATGGGGGTTTTTTTTTTGTTTGCACTTGCTTTGCTTTCCTTAGTTACCTTTAAAGTCAGATCTGTATTCTTTAGGATTAGACCATGGATCTGCAGTGGTTAACAT